CAGCAGGAACGTCGGACTCGCCGCCGGTCTGTACTCCGGCACCAGCCGACCTGACTTGAACCGGACCCCACAAGCGTTGCACAGCGTCTTGGGACCGAGCGGGCCCGTCCTCCACTGCGGCGTCTTCTCCGACGCGCAATGCGTGCACCGCCGGACCCCTCCCTCCGCCGTCACTCCTCTGGCGGCGGCGACATGCCTTCCTCCGCCTTCTTTCTTCGGCTTAGCCCTCCCAGCGGCGGCATGACCGTCGGGATCCGGCATCGGTGACCATGTCCCGGCGGGGGTTGCCGCCGGGGCTCTAGATCGCTTGCTCCGTGGCCTGCCGGTAAACGACGTGTCGGGCCTGACGTTAATCATGGTTCCACCCAATGGGTTCTCCGGAAAATCGGAGAATGAGTCGTCCACGAACTGCGACAGCCATTCCAGCTGAGCTGCATCGTCACTCTGCAGAAAACCCAGAAAAGAAACAAACTGAGTACCCAGAAGCCAAAACACAGATTATCAATACCTAAAAAATAAATAAATAAATAAAAACGAGTACCGGAACGCAGAGATCGTGGGTGAAATCGGTGAGGAAAGGGGAAGAAGAGGAGGAGGAGGGGAAGGAATTCTGGGGAAGATGAAAGGAGGATGAAGAGGCGGATGAGGCGGCGGCGGTGGAGGAGGAGGCGGAGGAGAAGATGTCGTCGTTGACGTTGGAGAAGTCGAGAAGGTCGTCGATCCGAATCAGCTCCGGCGACGATAATCCGTACACATCCATATCTCTCATGCAATGATGCAAATACACACAGAGACTCTCTCTCTCTCTCTCGTCTTCCACTCTTTAATAGAGAGAGAGAGTGAAGGAAGGGACGGGCAAGAGAACGTGCAGAGAGAGTGACCATGCACCGTGACTGACCGACTGACCCCTCCCCTCTCTTAATTTTTTTTTCACTTTTAAATTGTATATCTCAACTTTATTTAATACACGAAATATACTATATGGTATAGCATGATGATTCGGAAGCTTTTTATTTCAACATATATGTGAGATAATTCTAAAAAAAATTATATTTTGATTCAATAATAATTGAGCCCAATTATACTTGTGTTCTATGAAGTATGAACTATTGAGTTTAAATGATTTGCAAACCAATAAGCAAAACTAATTTCAAATTTTGAGAATTTAGGAATACTGTGATACCATATAAGAAGTGATAATAACTTGTCCACCCAATCTATATAATTGAATTGTGTGATACAAATATATATGTATATATATATCGCATGTGATACTACAAAAAAAACAGATATTTAGCAACGAAATTAGCAACGAAATGTATTTCGTTGCAAAGTTAGCAACGAAATTGCAACGAATTTTTTTTGCAACGATTTTGCAACGTTTTGCAACGCAAAAATTGCGTTGCAAAACGTTGGTAAAGTATTGCAAAATCGTTGGTAAGTCGTTGCAAAATTTCGGAGATAAACAAAAATGGAAAACTATATACTAACAGTTACGGATCAGACCAACCAAATAAAGATAGGAACTATATATATATACACAGACTCATAAAGATGTTCATGTTCATAGAGAGTGCATGCACGTTGTTTCTCTAATAACAATGTGCCTTTTTGGTTTCCATTATTATACAAAAAGCCTTTCCTTATCCTTTCTCGCCTCACGTCTCTTTCACTGCTTCTTTACTACATTTTTTTTCCTGCGGGTCCAATGGTCCCATATATATATATATATGTATATATGTGTGTGTATATATGTTTCATACAACGAATATAGAGGAATCGGTTAATTGCATCCATAAACGTTGGTTTTGTTGGTTCGACCAAAGTCATGTAGCAAGTTGTTTTCCCCTTCTCTTTATTTTTTTTTTTTTTTTTTTTTGATTTTCAAAAATTTAATTCCTTCTCTATATTGGTGCGTACGTTACTACACAAACGTATATAATATATATGTGGAAAGTCGGTATTAATAATTTTAATTTGTATGCGGACCATGAAAACGAAACCTCCACCTTCCGCCTACGCTTAGAAGTTAGATCCACCTCTTGAATTATGGATTTACATGGCTTGAAACAATGCATCATCGATTTTATTTAAAATATATATCTATGAGATTTTTTTCATATAAAAATGGGCAATTCGTTAGATTTACATGTGAATTTTTGTCTCTATTCAAAGTTTTTATTTATTTATTTATTATTTGTCTATTTTTGTAGTGGCGCGAGTATCCGGAGCATTTTTCTAGTGTTCACATGACTCAAACTAGTGGTGTTGCGATATTTATATATTTATATATATATATACACATATGTATGTCGTAACAAACTATCTACTTACTAAATTAAAACGTAATTGTAAAATTATGGCTTCATGGTACATGCCGACAATTTTAATTATCAGCCTATCGACTGTATTTTAGTGATAAATAATTAAGTTTCCGGTTTCAGGGAAATTATGAAATGAACGAATAGGAATTAATATAGACACGTGGCTGCATGTGGGGACCATTCTCGCAAAGCAAGGAACCCAGTAGAGTGGTGGATGGATGATCCTTGAAGGAGCTCACACACACATATTATATATATATATATATATATATA